GTATTCATTGGATCTGCCACTGGCATAAGCCCCTGTTTCGCAAGTGTGAGGTTGTGAGTTTGATCCCTGGTGCTGAAAAAATAAAACAGAAGTATTTTATTGGCAACTAATAGCAACGCATCTTTTACTGTGATAATATTTGTTACAATTTAAACCACTGTATGTTATGGTCACATCTTGAGTATAGTTAAGAGCGTAGACCGGAATAAACCCTGCAGGGCTGAAGCCCAGTTCTTATATGTCCAGCTGCTCACCCACATACATAGTTCTCACCTTCTGTGCCTCCATGTACTCAAAAGGAAAACAGGTTCCTGGTATTTGTGTTCTTAGGAGGATTAAGTGGTCCCTGAGGGAACATAATGATCAATACTTGACAAATAAAAAACATTTATATATTGTTATAATACTTAGTATCTAGCTTTCCTCAGTTCTTTGTGCAGACTTTTTAGTTAAAAATGTTTCCAATGAATGCTTTGGTAATCACGAGGTACTTCTTAAGTTTTCCTTGAATTTATTAATGAAACTCATTTTTCCTGGTGTTCAGAATTTTGAAAAAATTAACAAAAACAAATGGAATTATCTTGTTTTATGGAGAGTGCCGTACATTTTGGTTGTGGGATACTCCTGAATTTATCTCTTTGATCATGTGGTGTAAGGTACATATTATAAATCAGTGTAAATATAGATAATGAGGTTTTTCTTTTTGTCTCAGGAAGACTATGATCGTCTGAGGCCTTTATCCTACCCAATGACTGATGTCTTCCTCATCTGCTTCTCCGTGGTCAATCCAGCCTCATTTCAAAATGTGAAAGAGGAGTGGGTACCAGAACTGAAGGAATATGCACCAAACGTACCCTTTTTATTAATAGGAACTCAGGTACATCTGCCTTGATTTTACCAAGCGAAGCATAAGTTCTATCGCCAGTGGTTGGGGATTACTTCAGACCCATGGTCCCAACGTTAGCAAATGATGTGTTTGAATCCAGGTGCAGCTTAATAAGTTCTGTCGTATTTTTGGGGAAAAAAAATTAGTGTCAAAATAGAGCACTTATGTTAGTAGCTTTAAAAAAACTTAATTTAATAAATAAAATTTTTATTTTATTTTAGTAACTGGGGACTCATGGGATGACATGCTTTGATTTCTCTTTAAAGAGTTGTAATGTCATGGGACACTATTGACCTTTCTTAATTAGATTGATCTCCGAGATGACCCCAAAACTTTAGCAAGACTGAATGATATGAAAGAAAAACCTATATGTATGGAACAAGGACAGAAACTTGCAAAAGAGGTAATGGAACATTTGCAGAATTGAAAAATAAATGTAAGATAATAGTGAAGCAAACAGTTGTGTATTTACTGTACGCCGTGCACTGTGCTGAGTGCTTTACATGCATCGTCTTGTTTAATCCTTACCCAGCCCTGTGAGGCAGATCTTTTTACCTTGTCATAGAGAAGAGAAAATGAAGGCTTGGGGACATTGCCTAAGGTCCTGCAGTGATAAGGGGCAGAGTTGGGGTTCAGTCCAAAGCTGGGCTCATCTACCAGTGCCACACTGTTAACAGTATTTTCTTAAAAGTTATGTATGGATAGAGTGTCAGTAACAGATGCTGACTTGAATTCTTTTTTAAATACTTAAATATTTGTACTGTGCCAAATCAGACTCATGGAATTAGGTTGTAGAGTAACATAGGAAGGCAACTTAAAAACAGAAAATTATGGCTAGGTTTCTAAAAAAATATGAAACAGTACCTAATACCTTTTAATGTATATTCTTCTTTACCCTGAAGCTAGATTTACTTTTTCTCTATTTGGCCCTAACATTATTGGATTATATTTTTATTTATTTATTGGTATCAGGAATCAAACTCAGGACCTTGTGCTTGCCAGGCAGGTGCTTAAGCCTCTGAGCCATATCACTGGGCAGTTGGAATATATTTTTAAATGTTACATGTTTTATAGGATTTTTGGAAATAGAACTTAATAAGGTCTTTTAAATGTACTACATATTAGGAGACCGAAGGAAAAACAAAGACATTTTCTTTAGGGCAGTTTTTACCAAAGCAAAACATGAAAGTTTCGCTAACAAATCACTTGAGGAATTTGTTGTATTCGATTTGTTATCTTAGGAAGGGAAGGAATTTCTAAATATGATAAAGGTGAATGTCATAAATGAAGATACTGATGATTTAACCATACATAATTTTGATACATCAAATGCCAGAAATATACTGAAAGTCATACAACAAATGATATACATGACAGAAAAGTGAGTTAGTATCCTTATTATAATGCAAGCCTGCATAAATGAATTAACTGGAAAAAGACCTATGCCCCAATAGAAAAATGGGTTGAGAACAGATTGTATTAAAGATAGGAATTCACACCCATTTAAGGTCATTCACACCTATTTAAGGTCATTCAGTTTCCACATATAAAGTTGGAAAAAATTGAAAATTAATTACACCTACGGTTCCAGGGCTGCAAGGATATAGGCATTCCATAACATGCAGAAGCCTTCAGATCACACTCACCTTGGATGTAAAGTGATTCCTTATGCAGCCATGTATCCTAAGCAAAGTGTTAGGTCATTGGTTGAAGACTGAAGGGGTAAGTTTTTGGGATGTATTGCACAGGGTGATGAGACTAGTTAACAAGAGCACCCTGCCGGTGTTGTCACCACCAAAATGGTAAATGTTTGACATGATGGCCGTGTTAGTTTGATTTAACCATTCAACACCATGTACATGTCACTTTGTACCCAGTAACTGTATAGTTACAAGTTTACAATGAAGGTATTGGGGATGTGCTTCCAAGAGATGGCTACAGAGAGGTTGCGTTGTTCATAATGATCAAAAAAACCTGCATCTACTAAAAATTCACACTGAGAATCTATTTGAAATATCCATATTTATTACACAGTTTAAGGAAAAAGGAGTTGCAGAATCATACGGCCCTCGGCTGTTGGCAGCATGCGGCACAGTTGGTTACGTTTTATTCTGTTCTGGTGGTGCTGAGGCTGCACCCAGGGCCATCACACATGCTAGGCACTTTGCTCACATGGCTTCCTGAGCACCCTTTCCTGGTTCTTCTCCCGCCTCACTGGCCCCTCTGCCATCTCTTCATCTCCGTCGCCCCTGAATGTTGGAGGGCCCCAGGCCTCAGCCATCCCCACTCCTGAGGCCTCGGGAGCCTCTTCCCATCTTGTTTCTTGAACAGTTTCCCAAATGTGCATCTCCAGCCTGACCTTTTCCCATAAACTCTGGATGCTCTGTCTAGTTGTTCACTTAACAAGTCTGTCCGGATGGCTGAACATTTCTGAATTAACGTGTGCAGAGTACCTGATTTGAGCCTCCAAGCCTGCCCTTGTCTTCAGGTCAGAAAGCCTGAAGTCATATGTACCCTGCTCTTTCTCCCATCTCACACATTTAACCTTTCAGCAGAACAGACTGAGACGCTACACGCTTCCCTCTCAGCCTCTCCTCTTGACCTCTGACCTGGAATACCGGAATGGCTTTGCACTCACCTTTCTGCTGTCTCTGCTCCATGATAATCTGTTCTTAACACAGCAAGGAATGAGTTTTAAAATACAGGGTTGGTCAGGTCATTGGTCTGCCTGGAACCCTCTGGTTGGTCCCCACCACACTCAGAGTGCAAGCCAGCCCCTTGCCAGCAGCCCGAGGCGGTGCTCCCTCTTTGCTCCAGCCCTAGCTGCCTCACTCTGCCTCTGAGCTGCCTCAGGGCCTTGGTACCTTGTTGCTTCCTCTGCCTGGACTGTTCTCTACCTGTCCATTATTCATTCTTCAACCCGTCAGGTCTCTGCGTACCCACCGCCTCCATGTGACCCCCACCTGATCATCCATCCGCACTCCCTGCTTTTCTCCCTTCCCATTTTTCCCCACAGCACACACTGCCTTTCAGCATTGTGCTTCTGTACTCACTAGTGCTTAGCTGGGCTTCTCCCTCTAAGATGCAATGAGTTTCATAGGAGTAGTGTGGAGAATGAATTTCGTTCTCTGCTATGCACTTAACTGTCAGTGGAGGAACAAACAGGTCCCTTCTACATAGAGTCCAGTTAGTATGGCCTTAAGGCTGCCTCCCTGACCCCATGTTTCCCACCCTGAGCTCACTCTCTTCTGCCACACTGATGTCTTTTTGTTTCCTTGATTGCCGCAGACATGTTCCCACCTCAGGTATTTGCATGTAGGATCCTTGTTAGAGCCCGCCCCCTTGACCTTCACTGCTCAGCTTGACCTGTTGTCAACCCTTTCCTGACCACTGCTACCACCACCAGCCTCTGTGCCCTGTCACTTTTTCTCCCTAGCATGTGTACCATCTGGTCCAGCGTCCTCTGCATGCCTGTCCCCTGTAAGATACAGCAGATGTGGTCAAGTTCGCTGGTATTTCTCCAGCATCCAAACAATGAGTGCAGTAGGTACTCAACAAATATTTGATGAATGAAAGAATATTTTATAAAGTCTAGGAAAAATACTAGTATTTTAACAGTAGGCTACTGATGGGCATAAGAATATGGATGATGTTTCTTTTGCATACCTGTGTTTTGTAATGTGTGTGTGTTCTAATGTGATGTCATACTGATTATGTAAAGGATTTTATATATTTGTGATTTTATTTTTCTCCCTCCCAGATAGGAGCATGCTGCTATGTGGAATGTTCAGCTTTAACCCAGAAGGGATTGAAGACTGTTTTTGATGAGGCTATCATAGCCATTTTAACTCCAAAGAAACATACAGTTAAAAAAAGAATAGGATCAAGATGTATAAACTGTTGTTTAATTACGTGAAGAACGTCTTCAGTGGCCAAGAAAACTGTCCGTTTCTCTCAGAAAGCATATGAAATGCTACAGCGATACCCGACCTCTTGCAATGAAGCAGTTTAAAACTTGAAAGAAAACAAAAAACCTGTCCTCAGAATTCTATAAAGTTCATTAAGAATGTTCCTTACAGGTCTAAAAAGCAGCAAACAGAATCTGAAGCCACAATCTATTATAAATACTTTATTTCAATTAGAAGGTACAATCTCTCAGGGTTTTCATAGTTTAAAAAGCTACAATCACATCATGTTGAAACTACATTAAAAACAACAACAAAAGACCAGTGCTGTAAATGGAACTGCTTGGCTTTGACCATACATTTCTGCACAGCCCTTATGGAATCTGCACAAAGAATTATTATCTCCTCCTTTTGCTCCAGTTAATTGTTCTTGTATGTAAGTTGCTTTCTATTCCAGTATATCCAGAGTGGTGAAATAACAAGGCCAGCCACGTAGCCAAAGGTCGCTCCAAGCGTACAGGAGATGGGCCATACCTGAGGAGAGAACGTATGAGATCAAAAGCGAACAAACGTTTATTATTACCTGAGCACAAGTTAAATGTAACCTAAATATTTCTATATTAAAGCATAATGTGCTTTCTTAAAGAATGCCAGAAGTGTAATCAGGTCATAACTGCATTTATCATCAACACTAAAAAGTACACATTTTAGTTAATGTGCATTAAACTATAACAAGGCTTCTGACAATTGTAGATTTAGTTTGATGCTCCCCAAATTGCATGAGATACATACTAAAATTACAAATTAAATTTTTGGGTCAGACTTTGCCATAATCACGGACTCGATTTAGCTCTCTGAACTAGCTGGTAAATTTTTTTAAATTCCCACATTGGCTGTGTACATCAAAAGACATGAGAAGTGTGTATGCTGACTGAAACACAAGAAAACTTAGACACAAGACCTAGGACCTGAGCATGCTACATGGAATTTAAAACACAGCAGCTACTTCTGTAATAAAACTGTTGTCACCTTTCAGATACAGATACTGCAACCATAGCAGAAGTTACAGAACCATAATTTATGTACACACCTAGAATATAAGTTAAACAGAATACCATGGCTTCTAAATACCTATTCTCCTCAGTTGTATTACATTTCACAATATACCATTAAGCAGACATTTTTATTTAGTTCATGAGCAGTATGTATTTGTCCTGAGGTGAAAGGCTCTGCTTAAAAAGGAAAAAAAAAAATTGGAAAGAAACTTCTCATGTTCATCTGTAAAGCTTATGTGTTATATTAGAGCCATTTCTAATCATCATCTGAGGAACAGGCCTTAGCACTATGTTAGAGGTGAACCTTTTTAAATAACCGATCCTATTAACTAATTTACCTTCTTTGTTTGGTCTGCTATGGATCTTCCGTGTTCCAAAAGCCACACAACAGAAAGTAGCGTTAGACAAAGTGTGAATCACCTAATGCAGTTTTGAGATGCATAACCTAATCCATAGTTCCCCCAGCCTTCCCTACATTTCAACTTGCTGTTGCCTAAATTACGATTTGTCTTTGGTAGGTTTCTGTTTATTTTTATGATTTGTACTTACAGCTGTATGTATTGCACAGATTGGGTAATGGAACACTAAACATTTATACTTGAAAATGACCGCCTTAAATGCTTATATCAGTCACAAATCTAGAATGTACTGTCTTCGTGAGCTTTGTAGAGATTTTTAAAAATACAAGCATCATCTTCCCCATTGAAGAATGGAGAGTCTACTGGATAACTGGTCAGAAGCTTTCTCTCAGAACTGGACGTTGGATATCTTCCTTCTCAAGAATGGTGGTTCACACTATCATGGCCTTATGTATGCTCAAATGAAATCTTCTGTAACTTTCTCATTTAGTTTTGGTCTATTTTTAGATAGAATTTGAGGAATTGTATAAATCAATTAACATACTATTCTGAGTTGTCCAACACATGATATAAAGGAATTAAGACAGTAAAGTATTATACATTTCCTAGTTGCCTTTGGGAATTTGATGGGGATTTTTTTTTCCTAATTTACCTCCTTGAAACCCTTTACACTTGGTTTTCTAGGCAATGAAAATTTTGTATCTAGAATTTATCCTGCTATAAGAGATGGATTAGGGAATCTGGAAACACAAACTGGTGTCAGCTGCTTCTAGACTGGGCCTGTTTCCTCGCCGTAAAATTCGGGAGGTAGAAGAGATGATCTCCAGTGTCTCTCCCATCTACCAGTTCTTAGTGTCCTCTTTCTTGTTCTCAATAATCACTGTTGGACAGCACTTTCTCCAGATGGTAAGGACCATGCATACAGACTTTCAGAACTCTTAAGTGAAGATGATTGGATCGTCTGAACCTGAGGTGCCTTAGGTGCTCTACTGACCTTGCTGGGGTTTGGAGTTTCCCATTGCTTATTCAGAGCTTTTTAATTGCTTTAGTTATTTAATGTTTCTTTTTGCAAATCCTTCCTGCCACTTAAACTAAAAACCAAAGATTTGTTTTCTATTCATAAGCAGATTGTAGAAAAATTGCCTTATTTTCAGAGACATGTTTTTCATTAAAGGCTTAGGTTTTAATAGCAATTCAGATGAATCTCTGGAGTGACTTTCAAACTAGTGAAGTATCTGAGAAATAAAACACACTTCAAGATTACTTTATGAATTTTGCTAGTGGATGCAAATACACTGCTTCTAATAAGGTCACCTATGAAAGAAAAGAGATTTGTAGTTAATCCATTTTTTGCATATAGTAGATTAGTTCTGAAGTTCTTAAAAATAATTTTAGGAACTTCCTGAAGTCATATTTAATACTTGGCTAATTTACATCCTTATTTTATCTCTATAGGTACATTTTATGTTACCCATGTTGAAAAGTATCTCCAGTAAGTAGAGCTTGAATTAATGGTGTTTGTCATGAATTCTTAGTTACTTTAGAGACTGCTTCCGTTGGATTTTTAATTATTTTATTTTAAGTACCAAATTAAATACTGGTTTGTTGGCTGTTGCTAAAGTGATTGTTACTTTAACAGTGTCCCTTCTTAACACATGGGGTTACGAATAAAATGATATGCATAGTTTACTATCTATGTACAGTACTGAACTTCTTACCTCAGTAGTCTTTACTGAACTCACTATGAGAACATTTGGGAGGACATGGTGGTTCCTTTGTGTCCTCTGCCATGGGACCTCGCATCCTTGGCAGGGCAGGAGCACTTGCACTCTGCTGAAAAGCTCTGGTCAGGGCGCAGGAAAAACATTCATCCCTCACGGGTCCTGGCCAGATTCAAGTTTGGGGTACTCAATTCTATGTTCATCTGTGTAATTTCACAATGGTTTTTTGCTCTCAAACATACACAGAGACATTCACATAAATTCTTTAAACTGCTGCTATACTTCGCCTCCAACAGAATGCTGGAGTTTAAAGGTTTTGCCGAACTAGAAGTTAAGGCCTGGAACGCTGGTGATTATTAGTTAAATCTCAAGAACTCCACGTCACAGTCAGCAAAATAAACGTTCATTGGCCTTGTACGTAACAAAGTAGCTGCTTGACGTGCCCGAAATAAACACTCCTTAATTGTGAACACAGCCCTTTTTAAAAAGTTTCCTCATCTAAGCACAATCTTCCTGATTTCCTAGACCAACACAGAGGACTAGGAAAAAGGGGTAGTGATGGGAGGTTGCCCAACAACCATTGCTAAGCAAGTTCTGACTTTCTTATAATTGCTTTAAAAGTTTACACCACAGCCACAGTTCATGTAACTGGTCAGATCGTCCTAGCATAATCATTTGTTTTAATAATTAGATCTTAAAGGTTTCTATTTAAAACTACTTCCTCTTTTCACATACAGAAATACTTCTGTTTAGCATTCTTCATGCCATAAATAGAACTTAAAGATAGACCTGGACGTGTATACACTACACAGTTCAGCTGCATAGCTACAAGTATTTCTCCAAATTGTGGTAATGTGAGATGGCTGAATATAATTACTTTGTTTTGTTCAGGGAAAAAAGGAAACAGAACAAAAGCCTTTCATATAAAGGAAGTAATTCACAAGTGGTTGCTATCAAATGACAACTTCTTTTAATCTAGTATCTTTACTTTTTTTTTCTTTTTCTTGTTTCTTTATACCTCTTGAGATAGGGTTTTGCTAAACTGCCTGGGCTGCTGGCCTCAGTTTGGTATCCTGCCTTAGCTTCCTGAGCAGCGGGGATGACAAGCATGTCGCATGACACCCAGTTAAGTATTTTTTTTATTTTGTGATCACTAAATAGAAGAGATAACTCATACACATAAGAGGGTAAAATTATTAGTCTTAAAAGAAAAACCTGTTTAAATTTGAGTGGCTAAAATAGCCCACTTAGGACACCATTATTATCCTTTCTTTAAATTACGTGATCTTTTTTATGTATTTTTTTATCCCTTAAATCAAAAGATGATTGATTTTCTCTTAAAATAGCAGTGATAAAAGTTTTCCATTTCATAAAATGGTATCTGGGTACATCATATCACACTAAGTACTTTTTTTCTCTCAGAAATAAAACAATTTTATCTTTATAAATTAAAGAACCTAATACATAAACTTTGTATGTTTTCTCTGTTACATAAATCATTATTGCTGGGTGAAAAACATTTCAAAATTATACAGGTTCCCACCTGAAACCACACACTTTCTTCCTCATCAGGTTCTGCTGCAGAACTGAACTCTGCTTACATTCTAGGAAAGGAAAGCATACTGCCAAGCGAGGAGGTGTTTAATTTTCTCAAAGCATGTTCTCAGTAGTACAGACCAGTGATAAGGAACACCAATTTTGATACTAGAGATTGGCTTTGGGACTTGGTACTGCTGGTTACTAAGTATGTGACCCTGGGCAAGTCAGCTAACCTTTCTGTGCCGTGGTTTCCTTACCTGCAAAATGAGAACTTAAGTGCTGTAATGATGAAGGCATGTACCATGCATTCTTTTACCATGCATATAATGATATCTGGCACACGGCACACAGGACCAGTGCACTTGAACTCTTTACAGATCATAATTCTTTGGTCCCTAGTCCAAATAAGCTGCCATTACAACCCAGAGCAGCATTCTCTAAATATGCAAACTCTTCTGCTCCTGAAAGTTCTTTAAAAATATTTTTAGGAGGCACATCTAACCAAATTCATGTTTTCTTCTGGCCAAACATGATTCTCAGGTATTACCTACATGTAATTTTAAGGGTTCACAGACCTGTGAAGCCCATCTACGGACTCCTGGTTAAGAATCCTTATACCTCTGTACCTCTCTACCATAACAAGTATTTTTATTCATAGTGACCTTTTACCTTTTAGGTCTCCAAATTTTAAGGATAAGTCTTTATATATAGATGGTACTTGTTTGTAATTACATAATTTAGGAGTAAACAGCTAAATTTAGGAGTAAACATAATTTAGGAGTAAATAGCTGAGTTATGTTATTCTAGAGGGTCTTTTAAAATATAGTATATATATGAATATATATAATAAAAATAGATTC